AGACAGACAGGTGGGCAGACAGACAGATGAGGTGGCACCGTCTCGTTAACGTTCACTGTGAGGAATTAACGCTGCAGCTCATGTGTGCTGTCATTTCGGATAACAGCAGTGAGTGTGTTACAGTAGGGAGGAGAGGAAGCCTCCACTCTGACCTCAAACTTCCCTTCTCTAAAAGATGTGTTTCTTTTCGTTTGAAACGACACAATGACACACGAACGGGTCATCGTTAAAGGAAAGCGCCGTAAATAAAGCTGTGTCAGTGTCTTCATTTAAATAAAGTGAGTTAAAGGTGAGTTTACCTGGCTGGCACGAAGGCACATAAGTAACATGACTGAAGGTAGATCACAGGTTACCTCCACGCTCCCTGGGTTTTATGAATTCATTTATAAAAACTTGGATGAGCAATGGCAGAAAAGTTGAGTTTAGTGCACGTGGAAATACTGGGGTTTCTATCACAACCACGCTGAGCTAAATAAAATCACTCCTTTATTTATCCTTTGTTATTTGAAACCCACATAGTTGCCCATATTAGTTGGGTTTTATTTTGAAGCCCATACGAGACTAGAAATCACACTGTTGGCGGGGCTGTCTAATGTAACGAGAAATGTAACAAATCACAGGTAACGAGATTACATTTGGGGGAGTAACGGATTACCCCATTCGAGCCCACGCTCCGCTGCAGGCAGGTAGACAGGCACAGCGTCCCCAGCCGACCCGACTGTCTGAGCCCCACCCACCAGTCCACCCACTCAACCCACTCACCGGAGTGTCTTCTCCCTTGGGCGGCGGAACCGACTCTCTCCTGACCGACACCGCGCACAGGGTCGCCGGTTCGATCCCGCTTTCTTAATGTGTGTGTGATAGCGCGTCTAGACTCCGGGCAGGTGAGCCCTCCGGGGCCTCCAGGCGCTGCGCACAGTGAATACTAAACAGGATGAGACTGCATTCAGGCACGGCACTGCGCTCCCCGCTCTCTCTCCCTGTCATGCCAAATACTATTAACTCTATAATTCTCCTGTGTCAGATGTATAGCGCCACGCTCTCTGGGCATTTATTGTCACAGCGCCCCCATCCAGATGTTCAGGCTCGTGTGCATACAGTAGAGGCAGATATTAGCGTTTTTCTCAGCCGACCTTTTCCATCCACAGTCATCGAACATAAAACAGCGTGAGGGTGGATGATGTGACAGCGAGTGTGAAATGCTTTGGATGTATATTGCTTTTAAATGTAGGTCAGGGATTCATCACACACATCCTCTTTGTGAGGTAGGGGGAAAGTTTCCTTCACACTGTAGAAATGCTGATTTACAAGCAGGAGTTTAGAAGAAGTCTCCCCCAACACCACCTTTAAATATAGTTTCAGAATAAAAGGTTTTCATATTTATATATTTTCTCCTATTAAATTATTCCTCAACATGAAGTGGAAATGCTGCTCCGGGAGATCATTTCTGAAGCCTTTTTATTTATTTTGCTGACCTACCTCGGTCACATTACATCAACTCACCCTCTATGTCAGTTGATATTGTGCTTATGGTGAATATTCCCTCACTCGTTTTCATTTGACAAACCAGCAAACACACACACACACACACACACAGTTAGCGGGGCCGGTTTCAGTAGCAGAAATACTTTATTGATCCAAAAGGGGATAAACAATTAAAAATAAATAGAAATAGAGTATAATAAGGGCCTAAGTATGTACTTTATAATAAAACTTATACAATATATGACAATACATTTGATGACAAACTACAGCCAATATATATATATATTAAATATGTTTCTTTTGCACATTCCAGAATTAATATCAAACAAGCGAAGTGGCCTCTTTTCTATACACTTCTGCACAACAACACAATCTCTTTATTGTCCTTAAGCAGCATCTCACTCATGCCACAACGACCTGCATTCACTTTACTGTTCCCGTGCTGGCAGTGACCTGCGCTGAACTTATTTTCTCTAAGGCAGTTTTCTCTCTCATCATAGGGTCCGGGGTATTTTGGTTAATCCATAGGCTATGTTTAGCCTTTTCATCAGCATGCATCAACAACTTCAGGCACGGTGAGATTAAATTAGATTATTCATGAATGCAGACTGATGTGTTTTCCAGTCTCCTCACATGTTCACCGCGGAGGAGAAAGTAGGCCAGTGTGTGCAGCGGCTGACTGATCGACCCTCTCTCCCTCTTGTCCTTACGTTACACCGTTTGTCCCTGACACTACTCCGCTCCGCCGCAGGGGGCGTGCGGGCAGCGCTGTCCGCTTCGCTTTCTCTCTTTATGGGCCGTGCGGGTTTCCGTAGAGACGCTCCACACATGGCTACTTCCATGTGCTAACGTGAGAGTAAACCGTGAAGCTGACAGTGAAGCGCTGAGGGAACTGTTACCGCAACACCACCTGTGGTGTAAACCCCCCCCCTTGACAAATTAGGGAAGGCAGCATCCGCCTAGAGGGGGTGTCACAGGTAAATACAAGGTTTATGAGGATTAGCATAGCTAGCAGACCGGCTAATAACTTTGTTGGTATGAAGTAGCTCGCGTTATTCTTTCCTTTTCTGTCTTGTTCAGTTGCTTGCTTTCATTTTGGCTGTAAATGCAGCTGTGTTGACATGTCGGCTAACTGTTGTATTGGAAGACACGAAGGTAGAGCTGCAAGTCAAACTGGCTACTGCGTTAGCTCCTTTTATTGCTTACAGACCTGCAGAAGAACTGTGGGGGGGTTGTGCTGTTTGAAGACATCACCTTGAGGGCTTTAATGGGGGTTCTGTTGTTACACTGAAGCTAAACTGTTATCAGACTGAAAGACACAAAGCTAACAGCTCTGAAAGTCCAGGTAAACTTCAAATGACTTCATTACCAGCAGTCTACTAATCCATGAGGAAATGTACAGAACATGAAGCAGCAGCAGTGTTTATTGTGGGTCAAGCTAAAAGCACTCATTGGTGGGCCTGTTGGGCTCCTGAGCAGCTGTGGGGGTCGGATTTCAATGTTTAATGCATGAATTAGTTAATTCCAATGCATCTAGTTAATTAAGAAAAGGATTCAAAAGATGAAGCAGTAATGAAAGTGAATGCTAGTGGCAGTCCAAGAAGTGTCTGTATTTAATTGAGCTAATGTGATATTCAACACAATCATCTAGAGGTGGAGTAATGGTTTGTATCAGAGGTTGATTTAATGTGCTCACACAGGCTGATATCCAAATCCAAAAGCTACACTAGAGCCCGACCGATAACATTGTTTTCTGTTTGTATTTACATTTTTTGGTATTCGCCTCAAAAATCCACTGTCAGACTGGCTCTGTATTTAACCTTGAGTCTTTTTTTCCTAACATTTTGCAGCCTTCAGACATGTTATTTGTCTTTTTACAGCTGGGTGTGCCTTTATGCTGGTGCGCGGTTCTCGGCTATTCTCCCTCATTATTTCCCATCATCCACCTCCTTCCTGCATCCATTTTCCCAGACAGACGCTTCGGTCGAGCTTTGTCAGCGCTGCTTCTGCCGGCAAACGACTGAGATCCATGGATCCCCTGAAAACTGCTGAGGATCCTGAGATTCCCACCACCAAACCCCCCCCCACACCTTCAGCAGAGAGCATGAGCCCGGCACCCGCTGACGCAGCAGCTGACAAGGAGCAGACGCACCTCGAGGGACTGTTACCTGGGGAGACGGTGGTCAAGGAGGGCAAGGCGGCCATCTTGTTTCCCAGTGCTAATGAGGTGTTTTACAACCCAGTGCAGGAGTTTAACAGAGATTTGACGTAAGCATAAACGCACATTAATACTTTATTCGGTATGAGGTGATTCAGTACGGTGATCTTTGGGGAAATCTAGATAGGAATGAATTCAGCTTTTATACCTCCTAGTTATATAAATAGCCAGTGGCCACTTGGTGTCGCTTTCTGCACCAAAAGCAAATTAGTTCTCTCCTCTGCCCTTGCAGATTCTCTATCAAGTTTTATCGAAATGTGTGTGGTCGTTTTTCGAGATATTCTGCTAACTACAAAACACACAATACTGAACACCTAGCATCCTCGGTGGAGGAAAAACAATCACTGTCAGCAAGATGTTTTTTCTTAGTCTTACACATCATATTTTTGATTCTGCAGCCAGTTTTCACCTAGCTGGCTCTCTGTTTCACTCCATCACACCATCACAGTGTGCCAGTCATGCTTTGAACTTTTGTTTTTCAGAGCAGAGACAAGCCTACAGTACCTCGTCAGTACTAAAGAACCCACACGCTTAATATGTATAAATATGGCACGCGATTTGTGATTTAAAACCGAAGAAGAGAATGAAAGCAAATGTCATGAATATTTAGTAAGTTCTGTTATTTTCCCCCCGTTATGGTAGAAACGGTACATGCTCCCATATAAGCGATCATCTTCCCTTCTCAGATGTGCTGTAATCACAGAGTTTGCCAGAGATCTGCTGGCTCAGCGCGGGGTGAAGGTGGTGGTGCCTGGAGAGAAAGAGAGGGTGGTGGTCTCTCTGTCAGAGGAGGCGAACGAGGCCGACGTTCAGACGGAGGAAAAAAACGGAGCAAAGGAGCCAGCTGTAACTGTGACAGCTGGGGAGAAATGTGAGGTACGTAGGGCTGATTTTACACTGTATTTGTGATGTAGCAGATTTAATGCCACAATTATCTTCCTACAAAAATTTCAACAAATTGAATTTATTAATGGAAATAATCTATTTAAGAAATATGTCCAGTTTTACTCAGATCTTGTCTTATGTTAATTTATTTCTCTACTACAAATACATATTTATTTTTCTCCAAATCTGATGTTAACTAATTTTCCCTTCGTGTTTAATTACTACTGTGGTAGTGGATAGCGGGGATCATAATAAACATAGACAGCAACCAAAACTAGAAATTAATGAAAGTAGAGCAAGACTCGGAAAGTATGAAAAAGTAATTTTTTGACAAATCCCACGTTCTGATGCTGTGACACACTCACAGGTTCTGTAGCTCGGAGTTCGGCGCTAACACTGTCAGGGTTAGTGGTTTAAGTCCCACTGGGATTCTATGCTAAAAATATACACACTGATGTCAGCGTAAAGCAGCTTGGATAACTTCCATCAAATAACTTATGTTAATGTTGCAGCAGGTAATTTCACACTCTGGTGGCACCAAGTGGTAGAGAGAGGTAATTAGATCAGTTTTTGAAACTTTGGAGGATTTCATTATGTTGAAATAATGTCATTAGATTTCTGTACAGACCTGAGTTTTAATTTACTGTTTACTGACAGATGTGCACTCATTGTTGGTGGTGATTCTCTCTGGAGGGAGTGATCAGATTGGATTTTCAATTCACCAACTAGATTAGATGTAAAAATGATGTCCTTAGTGGAAGATGTACAACTTCTGAACTACAGGAGAGAGGAAAATTCTCATTTATATTCTCTGTTACAACCGTTGGTATTTAGCTTGTTACTGCAGCTTTATAGCTGCTATAATCTATATGTGTAATAGTATTTGAATCAAATTACATTTATGTGAAAAGAGTTGCTCTTGTGATAAACTCATGGTAAACTATCAGCTCTAAGTAGCTTTTTAGCATCTTTCAGCTCATTGTTTTGGTTTTACAGCCCGAAACTTTACCGTTTTGGTTCACTGTTACTGCTTTCATCAGCCTTGTTTTCAGATGAAGCAGGCAGTCAGTAGTTTCCAGTGAAAAAGATAAATTGGCTGTTTGCTGCCCAAATGGCGGACTGACAAATTGACTAGAAGGTGAATATTTTATAGCTTTTAGCAAAGACCCAGGTTTTTTTCTCAGGAATTGGTAGATCTAAAACATATCTAAAAGAAGAGTGAATATTGGACTTAGATCAACTGGACGACTTCAAATGAATGCTAATGTTGCTTCATGTCTTTCAGATGTGTAAATATGTAAAGTTTGCTATATCGCTAACGTTATAGCGTTGGGAATGGGCAGTGTTGTATTACAGCTTGTTTCTGCTGCCCCCAAGTGGCCAAAAAATTCAGTTAATGCAAGTTTAAGGTTTTTTTCCCGACCCTCCGTTTCAGCGCGGCCTTCGTGTGCTGGAGGGTCTGGCGGCATCCGGGCTGCGCTCGGTGCGTTTCGCTCTGGAAGTCCCGGGCCTGCAGAGCGTCACCGCCAACGACTTCTCCACCAAGGCTGCGGCACTGATCGCAAGGAATGCCCAATACAACGGAGTCAACCACCTGCTCCAGGCCAGCTGCAGGGACGCCAGGTATGTTTACTCAGCACATTCAGGGAAAGGCTCGTTTGAAATGCTGCTCTGCCTGTGCCTCTGTTATTTATCTGCTTCACTGATTTGCTGTCCGTGTGTTCCTCTCGTGCTTCTCTCATCTTCATTCCTCTCCAGTCTTCACCTTTGACCCTTTGTTCTATTCATTCCCGTGCTCCTGTTCCCATCTCCTCCGCTCCTGTCTCTTCGCTTTTCTTCTTTTCTGAAGTCCTTCTTTTAGTCGTGTCGCTCTCCTCTTTTCTCTTCTTCATGCCTCTCCTTCTGTCTTCTTCAGTTGTTTCTCCTCTTTCATCTCTGAACTAATCTGCTCTCCTTTTTTAACTGGCTTTGACTCATCTTGTTTCTAGCCCTCTCTTTTCTCCTCTCCTCTATGCTCAGTTGTATTATTAGTATCTGTCTCTGTACTTTCTGTGGTCATGGATGTGGATTTGTTTAATATTTATTTCCTTTCCTTTTTATTTTGCTCCAGTATGCTGATGTATGAGATGCGAGGGAAAAAGGAGCGTTACGATGTAATAGATCTGGATCCCTACGGTAGCCCTGCCTCCTTCTTAGATGCCGCTGTGCAGGCCGTCAGTGAAGGAGGTGGGTAGTTCGGTCTGTCAGTCATTCACCCAACCCTTCTGCACTTCATTCTTCTGGCTCTGGGGCTGTTTTGATAAGATAAGATAGACTTGATTGATCCCACACTGGGGAAATTCACTTTTGGGTTTGATAAACTACTGTTCCACAGTATTACCAGCATCTTCATCCAAGTACGTTTCTGATCATCATGCTGTGAATTTGGAACGCTGATTTTAAATCACATTTCATCTATGTATTAGTGTCTGTGAAACACTGTCACTATGACCATCCATTTTACATATTTACCTTACTAAATTGGGGCCTCAGTAGCTCAGTCTGTAGGCCAGTTAAGTAAAAATATAATTTCCTCATTAATAAAGTAAATCTTATTCTTCTAAAGATATGATTCCTGTGGCCTCTCTACAGATGTTGTACCCACTGTCTTTTCTTTTTGAAGCTGATGGATTAAAAAATTAACAGTTGCATTTCTTTTTCAGATAAAAGCATTTTACAAACATTTGGCAGCTATTATGTGTCATTCTTAAGCAATATTACTTTTCTCAATACTAATCCATCCCTGAAAGAGTTTTTTTCCTCAGTGTTTTTCTTATGGATTTGGTTGACATTCATAAACGTTTATTTGCTTTCACTAAGTGAAGGAAATGCACTCAAATTGCGTTTTATTTTCAATGACATTTCAAAAATTGGCATGAAATCTGCTTGAGAGTTGGATCAGAAGTAGGTCAAATATTGTTTGTGAAATTAGTCTTTGGTTTGTTTTTAGTCTCACAAAGAGTCTTCTGTATAGGACAATACAATGAATGATGTTTACAGTCAACAGCAAATCTGACATGATCAGAACTGCCCTGATATGAAAATCTCCACCCATGTGCTGCAACCAGAAGGTTCAAACAAACACTAAGAGTTACTTTAGTATACTAAGTATCCTAATTTTTAAAAGTAGTAATTTATATTCCTGTTCTTGTGTTTTGTCTCTTTGTATCTTTGCTGACTGACTCACTCTCTGTGCTTTTCCCCTCTCTCAGGTCTGTTGTGTATAACATGTACAGACATGGCGGTGATGGCAGGAAACAGTGGAGAGACCTGCTACAGCAAATACGGTTCAGTCTCTATCAAAGCCAAATACTGTCATGAGATGGTAAGGACACGCACTCATACACAATGCACATATAGTACATGCACAGACAGGTCGGTGTTTGCACCCATAATATTTGTGTGTGGCACTGACAGGAACAGATTAAATGCTGTCATGGGTTCTGGCCTGAGGCTGTAAGTTGGTGAATTAGGTTTTTGTGTCAGTGTGTGCTTGCTCCTATCCGTATACTTATTAAGGGAGTTCTTTTGTCATAAGGATAGAAAGATGAAGGAAAATCATCCAGACTGATGACAGTTACTGCTCCTGGCGTCTTTTTAAATTATGAGACTTATGATTTCAGTTGTGGTTGCTTTGGTGACCCTGCTGGTAAAAGCAAGTGCGGTTTATTATTGCAAGTCTCAGAGTTCAAAGGGCAGCTGCTTTGTCAGAAATACAACAGGAGACCAGCTGATCTATCGGTTTACAGTGCAGCCAAACCAACTGATCTTAAATCATGCTGCGCTTGGTGCAAGTAGTTTTTCGCACAACAGCAGGGCACAGTTAAGTTATTCCCCTTGATGAGGCGCTGAAGGTGTGCAGCCTGTCGCCTGCAGCTCTTCATCTGCAACTCGCTGTGTGGCTGCTCCTCCTTGTTCCATTACTCCCTGCAATATTTAAAACTGATTGTCTGTCAAAAAGGACAAAAACAATGAATGATCCAGGCTGGCGCTAACTTAGGTTGAAAATCCATTTGTAAAAGCGACCCTGTGGTTTCACCAACACTTAATGTGAACCAGCAGCAGTAGGAAACGGCAATGGAAACTACTCTATAGAGAAGTCATTTATAAATACATTGAATGGCTATAGCTGAAAAAAAGCAATCCCAGTTTGAGTGTAACTGTAATTTTGAATTTGAAGATAACTCTGGCGTACCCCAGTGGTAGTAACAGAAAAACTGGGACTGTAGCAGACAGCAAAACACAAACTCAGGGACACAAAGCTAAGACGAATGAGCAACTCATAAAGTACATCATTTTTCACTGGGAACGTTGAATTTCCAAAAACAAAAGCTTTCTCAATCTGAATAATTTGACAGATGATTTAATCGCATTATAATCCCAACATAATGGCTTGAACTGATTTGCTTCTGGTTTGGGAGGATAAATTAACAGACAGTAATGCACCTGGAGCTCATTTTCATTTTCATTTTCAAACACACCTTTGCATGCACTGATATAAACGTATAGATTAGAGATAGAGATTCAGAAAATACTGCGTTTTTCCATCACAAATAACAGTTTAATGTTAGTGGATACTGAAGACGTTGGCGTTAATCATTATATATATCCGTCAGTCAAGATATTTTCAGGCATTACGATGACACAAATACTACTCTTTATTTGAGTAATTAATTTTATTCATGTAAGTGAGGAGATGTAAGACTTTATTAATGAGATTAGACATATTAGTGTTTTTAGTTTATTCTCTTCATTGAGCCCTGCAAACGGTGCAAGAACATCCGACTTTCTCAGACGTTTCACATAAAGAAACAAAAGAATGTGTGTGTCTCTCTTATTCTCCTGCAGGCTCTTCGGATCATCCTCCACAGTTTGGAGCAGAGGGCAGGGGTGTACCAGCGATACATCCAGCCTCTGCTGTCCGTCAGCGTTGACTTTTACATCAGGGTCTTTGTACGGGTCTTCACAGGACAGGCCACAGTCAAAAACTCAGCCAGGTGCTCTCTCTCACACAAACACACACACTAACACACTAACACACACATAATGTACTGTCTTCTAACAAAGGCAGATATATTATGAAAGTTGAATGAACTGAAACTGGGTCACTGCAGCAACAAACACTAAAAATGATGGCAGCGGCAGCAGAATTTGGTGAGATAACACCAAGAAAAAAAATGAATGTAATGTTGATTATTTATGTGAAGGAGGAGAGAGAAGGAGAATCTATATGACAATAGTGAATAGTGTAATTACAGGATGTGTTGTTAAAATGCCTGTATAGGTATGCACATTTACTAGCACACATGCTTACATATGTACACAGTATTTAAAGCTTACATTCAATGTGTTTCTCGTGTTGCAGTAAACAGGCTCTGGTCTACAACTGTGTCGGCTGCGGGTCTTTTCACTTACAGAGAATGGGCAGGAGAACAAGCAATGGAAAACAGTAAGACAGTCCACGCTGTACAACTGCGTCTTTATGCCGTCACATGAAATGAAAATGTAAAATGTAGGGGTGGCTAGCAGCAGACTCACCTGCTTAAAATCCAACCTTTCAGACTCTTGGCATTTTGGCCGACGGTTTGAGACATCAGGTCTAAAATGTTAAAGAGCCAATATCAATGTTTGGTGTCAGTGCCTTTGTACAGACGTTCATGTTCTCAGGTTAAATTGTAATCACTTGGGGGATCCCTTTACCTTTCCTCTAGCGCCATCATCAGGTCTAAATCTCAATACAGGATCTTCATTTTAACCAAAAGTAGAAAAATGAATGACATTCCCATTGTGTTTAGTGCTAATGGTAGCTTATTAACATGCCAAACTAAGATAGTAAATATAGTGAACATTAGTTGTATTAGTTTCTTGGTTGTGTCTGTTTCTGGCTGACAGCGTGTGTGCAGTAAAGCTGAATCTGCTGGTTTTAGTATGTGTATATTTTATATATTTCAGTATGAAGTATTCTCCTGCCACTGGACCCCCAGTTGGACCAGAGTGTGAGCACTGTGGACAGAGACATCAGGTGAGACACCTACAACACTTACATTCACACACATTCTATATTCATGAAACTTGTTTATATTTGCTTGTTTTGTTGATTGTCAGAGTTTTATTTTGCATGATGCGCCATCAGTCTGTAAATTCTTTACACTTTATATCTTTACACCGCTCTCTGCTTGCTTGTAGTTATTACTGTGCAAACACATACACGTACTGTACAATACAGCAGCTGAAGCCTGTGTCTGTCCTCTCTGTAGCTGGGTGGACCTATATGGGCCGAGCCCATCCACAACCTGCCATTTGTCCAGAAGGTCTTGTCCGCTGTGTCGGGGAACCCGTCCAGATTTGGGACGTCCAAACGCATTGAGGGCATGCTCAGCATGGTGACTGAGGTATTAAATGTCCTTTTTATATACGCTCTCATTATAAGGCTTGTTTTCATACGTTACTGTTGCCATGTGGGTGTGGTTCGTTCATCAGGTAAAGTCACATTGTGTGTTTTTTTTATTTTTACTGGTCTGATAATTCTTCCTGCTAGATTAAAGCATCATCACCTCTGATGTGCTGTTTATTTCAGGAATTAGAAGATGTTCCTCTTTATTACACCGTGGACAGTCTGAGCAGCACGATACACTGCAATACTCCACCTCTGCTCCAGTTTAGGTAAACACACCCACACACACACACACACACACACCATACAAATGAGTATACAGTGTTATGAAGAAACTATAGTGCATTTTTATATTGTAAGATTTCAGAAATAGCTGTGATACACATGAACACACATCGTTCAATTGTTACATTGTTAGTTTTTAGTGTTTGTAAAATCTCATAGAAAAATGGTTTTGTCTTTGGTTGAATTAAACATTAATCTGATGTTTTACTGACAGCTTTCCACAAGCATTGTCAGCATTCCCTACATTAGCTGCACACTGAATCAATGGATTCTACTTCACTCTCTCTCTCTCTCTCTCTGTAGGTCTAGAGAAGGGCAGTCAGTACAGTTTCCAGGTAGCAGCCATGACAGCCAATGGAACAGGTCCAGCCAGTGACTGGTGTACTGCAGAGACGCCGGAGAATGACCTGGATGGTAAGAACAGAGACAGAGAGAGAGAGAGAGAGAGAGTGTGTGTGTGTTAGAGAGAGAGAGAGAGAGACAATCTGTACAACAGCATGTAAATACCTCCGCTGTCCCAACACATAAATATCTAACCAGTTATGGGCTGCTAGGATAGATGGAGGGAAGATTCACCTCAGGGAAGGAGGGATGGGAAGGTCGGAAGCAGGCAGGGGAGGCGGGAGAGGTGGAAGAGAGGAGTATTTCTAAATTGTTCACAGATCACAGGTACAGTAGGTGAACTTTCTGTTGATCACAGTTACGGTTGCAGTTACAAAGCAGTGGTACAAAAGTCATGAGGGTGTTTTTTCATACCCCCAAAAGAATAAATTCCATTTCTGGAACAAAAAGTGCTGAACCAAAGATACTTTTTTCAACCTTTGCTTTTGCCCTCAAGTGGAAAAGAAACTCCTTCTTCCTCTGCTTCCTTTTAGTGTAAAAGAAGAGCACACAAGCTGTACCGCCTGTCATTACACTATTTAAGATACAATAAATCCCTGGAAATTGTTGTTAGTGTCGTAGAGCACAACATGAAAACTAAACAAAAAACTATAACTTCTTCTGAAGCATCCATAGGTGGAGGCTGCTGTATAAGCAGATGATGATTAACAGTAAAACACATTTGTAATAATATTAGATATTGTCTCATAGGTATGACTGTTGACAAAAACTGTACATTATTAAACATAATAATATCCTTTTAGCTGTTAACAACTAGGTACATTATAGGGAGTTCAAAATCATGTATTAAAAATAGAGGGCGTCAGAATAAAGTCTAACAGAAATTACTGTAACTGTTATTAAATACTATGCTATGTTATATAAGTGTTGCAATTTGGAATATTTTGTTTTATTTAAAACTTGTATGAAAACGTTTAAATGAAAACTTTTGATTTTGTTGACTTTCTTTCTAGCACCACCATTAGGTCAGGATTTTAGTGTTGTAAATGACAAATTAGAAAATATAGAGGACAGTAAGCCATGACATTTGGGAATCAAAATCATCCCCCCCAAGATAAACCATTTTTTGTTCTAAAAAATGAAGAAAAAAATAATGTAGTTGCTGAAGCACCACCATCATTTGGCCCTAAATTAAGGGTTAGTTGACTGCTGAAAGTCTCATGTCATTTTATTAAAAGGACATTTTTACAAAGCCAAAAGGCCACTAGCTTTAGGTTTGGACAGCAAATTCTTACCTGGGAAGATGTTTTCTTTTTCACCGGAGAAAGGAAAAATGAAAGCAATGAAGAAGTGAAGAAAAAAAACAACCAACAAACAGGCTGTCAGCTCTTGGGTTTGGTCACCTAATAATTTCTAGCAGAATAATTAGAAAATCTGACCTCAGGCTAAAGCTCAGCAGGAGGCGGTCCTGGTCAGCAGGAAGCTGCTGAGATAAAAACAAACACATCCATGCTAACTGTGTTTCCTGGCCGGGACAGAGGGAAACGCAAATCTCATTTCAATGGATTATCACTCAATAAAGTGATATGAAGCGTCTTCCCCTGAGGAACCAGAGCACGCTAATCTGATCTAATCTGATGCTGAGGAATAACACAAAGTGTCAGGGCTTATTAGGGCTTAATACACAGCTAACGGGGTTAGCATCTGTTAGCCCAATTGCCCTAAGTACCTTCTACTGCTGCTGCTAACAGGGTTAGTTTTAAAATTGCCAGTGGTGGAGGTCCAGGCCATAGCCAGGACTACAAAAATACTGAGGTCTGAGGTCTCCCAGATCCTGTTGTCTTCTTCTTTGGTGTGACATTTCATTGTTTGTGTTTTTGCAGAGAGCCAGGTGCCCGATCAGCCCAGCTCTCTGCACGTCAGGCCATTGCCCAACAGCATCATCATGTCCTGGACTCCACCCCTCAGCCCAAACATCCTGGTTCGAGGTTACATCATCGGCTACGGAGTGGGTAGTCCCTACGCCGAGACGGTTCGGGTGGACAGCAAGCAGAGATACTACTCCATCGAAAACCTAGGTGAGAATGTGATTCGAGTACAGAGATACTGGTTCCAGTCCAGGGTGATTTTGGTGGCATCTTGTGAGTGTTCCATTGACT